AATACGAGCAAAAGTGATTTCCACAACATGCAGGCATGTTTCTAACCTCATTTACCTGCTGAAGCAACTTTCTTGAAACATTTAGTCTAAACGATCAAATAAAAATAATTAGTTTAATGACTCTTAAAGGCAGTTTTAAGCTATAATAAACAATTACAGTTTCGTTTCGAACACTAGTAGCGTAAAACCACACGTATGACTGGCGAAAACGTTCAATTTAAGCAGAAATCAACCTGCGTTATTATTACTATTATGTAACTTTGGTGTTATTTTCACGAAACGACTCCTAACAACAACAGTTTGACTTCAAACGATCAAACACTCCCATTTTGGCTGTGGGCAACACCGTTAGCATGTTAGCATTCCTACAGCTAACTCATCTTCCATCCAAGTTGCTCCTTATTTATTAACATCTACCTAATTATGATTTGAAACACCTCTTCGGATACAATTTTAACACTTAATCTACTGCATTACCTCGAAATTAACTCCCGTTGTCCTTTCAATAGCCAGTTCTGTCAGATTTAACAGCAGCCGTGCTAATTCAGAGCTGGCTAACAGCCTAAACCTCATTGTTTCGAACGGTGACGACACTAGCCTGCTGCCGAGAGCTGTGCGACATGCTCATCCGGAGCATCTAGCTGACAGGAACCAGCCTGCTGGTTTGTTTTGGGCATTAATATTAGAAACGTAGAGTTTTGGTGCATCTTCACGCCGCTATAAGCTCGTGTAAAATGCAGGCAAACGCTTCCATATCATACAGTTCTAGCATGAATATGGATAACCTCTGGCAACCAACATGTTACTCATGTGTAAATGCGCATTAAACGCACTGATATTCGAGTAAAAACTATTAGTACACACGTAGGTGAAAGTAAAGCAATGTTAGTGAACATTAGCAGCCATGCAGGTTGCAAACAGCTGCACTACTGTCGTGCGGGCCTCAATCAACATTTATATGGTTGGAGAAACCGAGCAAAGCAACAAACTCGGTGTCTTGTGGCCATGTAGCCACAAGCATTAAGTAATAATTAGAAAGTTTTCAGAATTCATATTAATTATTGCATCCACCGAGCTGTTACGGGCCGTTAAGGGTAATCGTAACAGTATTCGCAGGGTCGGTTGGGTTTTTAAGAGTTATTGGTCGTTAAAAACAGCAAGGTTAGCTACACGCTAACGTTAAATTTGCGGAGCAGACAACATATGATAACCAATTCATAACTTCAGGGATGTGTGAGATTGTACCGAAAACACTGTCGCGGCGAGAAGACGCGTTACCTCGATCCTGGAAAAATTACGTGCGCATGATTATTTTCGTCGTATTTCTTCGTTCCAATCTTGACGGATAAAAGGTCGCTTTCTCCCTCGGTTCGGTTAGGATTTTTCAAAATAAAATGGCGACTGTCACAGCACGCGCGCGCGCACCCAGTGCGGTGCTTATTGAGCTCGCGCACAAGCTCGCTACTACGCAACATATTATGATAACGCGCTGACGCTCCTCCATTCCCATGCGCACAAATGGTGCAAAGAGATGAAGACTTCACGCACATGCAAACGCACACCTGTTCCTGTGTGAACGGATTGCCAATTACGATTAGATTCCATTTTTCTCTCTAAATAACCTAAAACACTTTTATGAAACACCCATTTATGTTTGTTTTAGGGATATATATATATATATATATATATGATTGTTCTAAAAACCTTTTACAATTTAAAACGTGAATGTGAACTAACACTGAATGCAGTTTGTA